GGGGCCGTCCGTAAATATCGATGTTTTTTTAGAGACGATATTGGTGCGTTTGGGGGGGGAGGGGTTTGAGCCATGTGCGTCTTTTCGAGCATCAGAAAAATATCGATGTAAATATCTGAAGTTTCGCCGATCCCTGCACGCGGACGTCTAAATGGCTATACAAGAAATGTGAAACCAGCTTCCGTTCGCGGAGCTAAAACTCGCGACACAAGAACAAAATCAAAAATTGGAAGCTGTACGCCCATGGCGAATTTCAAGAGCAAAAGAATGAGCTATTGATTGTGGAAATCGGCCGAACGATGCCTGCGGGAGACCTTTTTCAAGACGTAGAGGCAGTGCGAACAAACACGGACGAACTCCACAAGAGTTTCCAGTCTTCACTGTCTGAACAAGGATTTGAAAAAATTCAAGCCCGAGCGTAGCCGCTTTGGCTACACCAGTACACGATGGCTGAGCACTGCAGCGCCAACCCGGTTCGCTCCCCCCAGGCGATGCAGCGTGAGTGCGGCGGGATTTTCACGCCTACACCGGACCCTCAACATCCTGGGCACTTCATGAGCATCCAAAAAATTTTTCAATATTTAATATTGATTCCATGATCTAGATGTACATGTGCGTCTTCTGGGGGGAGGGAGGGGGGTCAAGGGAGAGAAGCACCAATATCGTCTCTAAAAAAACATCGATATTTACGGACGGCCCCTAAGCGATATATCGGTATAGCCGATAATAGTGTGTATAGTGATATTTTACTATAATAATTTTAGCTGTATTTTGTTGTGATTTGATTTTGATTTTGGCGAGTTCTATCATTATAGCCGGTATATCGTTACACCCGGTCACTTTATAAACGACTAGCAGCACCCCCGGCCAGCGTTGCCTGGCCGAACGTGGCATGCGGGTGAAGCAAGTACATGAACAGCACACGTGCTCAGCACGTGGTGGTGGCCAGACCGCTGAAGTCCTGGTGAGGGAGGTTCTTCATCGTTGGAAGGAGAAGGAGGGACGTCTGTCACGCCTTCGGGAGGCTGGTCAGGGTTGTCCATCACCTGGTACATGGTGGCGGATGAAGCGGCTCAAAAAATTCATAAAATTACGAACAAAAGTGCGATGCGCTCTTGATCTTCACTGCAGATCAGATGCAGAGTGCAGTCAGTGCAGATCTTTTGTATCCTTTTGTTGCAGATGTTTCTATTTGCAGAGAACGGTTCACGTGGTCCGCAGCGCTTGTGCGGCTGCTAGTGCTACCTATTATATTTATAAGGCTATAGTACATTCAGAAAAAAATGAACTTCTAGCTTTTGGCCAAAAGTGGGTCAAACGTTGAGTTTTTTTAGAATTTTTTTCTGCAATCCCATATAGAATCCTCTTCCAATTATGTTTCTGAAGTTTTTTTGTCCAAAAAGCAAGCCATAGCAAGAATAGGATTTCGGCCAGGTTTTGCCCCAAAAGCACTGAATTGGGAAAAACCATCAAAATCCAGGCCGTTTGACCCCCGCCTGCAACAGTGCATTCTGCGGTTCGAACCCCAGTTCAGGCACCCTTTTTGGACCCTTTTTCAAATTTCAAAGTTCGCAGCACTGCACTGTGTACGATGAAATCACGAAAAATCGCCAAATACGGGAGCTCGCCAGAGCCAGGACCCATCTTTTTATGAATGGACTGTTTTTGTAGTAGTACCTATGCCTATGCCTAGGCTAGGTGGCTACATGATTCGCACGCTTCGCGTGCTCAGTGCTTCTGTGCGCGGCTGCTACTGCTACTCCGAGTACTCGTACTGATCGTGTCTGCTACCTACACACACACACACACACACGTCACAGACACAGGTACCTGTCTAGGTGCCTCTTCTTTGGCTAGATCTAGAACGTGGCATGAACAGCACACGTGCTCAGCACGTGGTGGTGGCTACACGATTCGCACGCTTCGCGTGCTCAGTGCTTTCTGTGGCTGCTTCCGCTAGCTACACGATTCGCACGCTTCGCGTGCTCAGTGCTTCTGCGGCCGCTAGCGCTAGCTACATTGTTCGCACGCGCGCTTCGCGTGCTCAGGGCAGCGCTGCTCCGCAGTATGGCCTGCAGCCTGAGCGTGACACACACACACACACACAGACACACGTCACAGGTGCCTCTTCTTTATAAGATACTCACTGTACTACATAGTAGGCCTCCGCGGAATATGCTCGTATTTTTACCGATAATTCCTTTGAGCATTGCTCAAAATTTCGACCGATTACGAGGTGGTTTGGCTTTTTTTAACATGGTTGTAAAATGACGTTTTTTCAGTCACTTCTAGACAAGCTACGTCCAAATGAATTGTTGCAAGTGGAAGTGCTATCCTTCATGCCCGGCCCGATGTGTCCAAAAATGGGAATGTGTCTTGAATCATGTCCAACTTTCATAGTATTCTCAGGATTCAAATAATTGGTGTGTCATTTTTTAACAAATTTGTAAAATCATACTAAAATGGCATCACAAACTGGGATATTCGGTCATCAATAGACACCCTTAGCAAAAAACGTTATGTAATTGTTGTAACGGTATTATCGTAAGGGGGAAAATACCGTGATTTGGGTTCGACCTTTAGCAAGATGCACGCTATTTTTTGTACGCTGTTGCCACGAGAATAGAGAGGTTAAGTTTCACGTAAAAGTCTAGTACTTGAGATTGGTATTGGCGGAGTCGCTCTGCAATGGTTTCACAGCTACCTTACAAACAGACAACAGTGCGTGGTCACTAAGACTCAACAAGGGCAACCATACACAAGCAACAGAGGCGTTCCACAAGGCTCTGTTTTAGGGCCGTTTCTATTTAACTTGTCCGTGAGGAAACTCCCCGCTGTGCCCAAACACTGCAAAGCCCGTCAATACGCAGATGATGTGTCTTTATACAGGGCGGGGAAGAATGTCCAGAACTTATGCAAAGACCTCACAGAGGACATCATCAAAGTAAAGGAATTCTTGGCAACGAGAGGTCTTATGTTGAACTCCTCGAAAACCCAGCTTGTTGTGTTCAGGCCAAAGTCGAAACCTCTTGACCCCGATGTCAACGTTCAGATTGAAGATGTCACCATCACCCCTAGTGCACACGTGAAATACCTCGGTATAGTTCTTGACGAACATCTCTCCTTTGGAGTTCACATTGCACAATTAGAACGTAAAATAGGCTGTAAGTTAGGAATGTTTAGAAAGGTCCGAGACCATTTAACGATCGATGCTAAGAGGGCTTTCTACATCTGTTCCATTCAGTCCATACTTGAGTATGGGTCTAATTCCTTTGCTCACTGCCTTTCTGCCTCCCTCCATGACCGTGTTGTCCGACTTAGTAATAGAGCGCTGCGTATTGTATTTTGCATGCCCCGCCTATCTGATGTCTCCCTTGTTCTTGCCCGCTACCATATCATTCCCTTGTCTGTCAGGTACCAATTCAAGCTGTACGTTCTAACGTACCGTGCGCTTCATGATTTGGCTAGTGTCTTTGTTGCTAACTGTTTCTGTCTCCGCTCTAATTCTACCTGCACTAGTTCTCGCACCCGCTCTCAAGTGTCCTCTTCCCTTGCTCTTCCGACAGCCAAACGTCGCTATGGTTTATTTTCTGTCACTTTCCTTGGCTCTGACCGCTGGAATGCCCTCCCAGCGGAGGTCCGCTCAAGTTCTTCCTTGCATACCTTCCGTAATTCTGTTCTTCATTTTTTAGGGTACCCTGTCAAAAGGCCTTAGGCCTGTGGGGATTGCCCTATCAAAAATTTAATAATAATAATAATAATAATAACGTCCGTGAACTTTTACGTCAAAAAGTGAAAAAACTCACGTAAAATTTGACGTGTTTTACGTGAGTTGACTGTCCCGCACGTAAGTTCATGACGTGAGTTTTTGGAAGTTTCGCTTGGTTATCCCGACCGAATTTGTGTGAGTTTCCGGAATTTTATCGAGATTTATCGAGTTTGTTGGAAGATTTGATATTTGTGCGAACTTACCCGAATCCTGCCAGGCAAAATTTCACGTCACGTCACACGTGTAACTTAACCTCTAAAAATTACACGTAACGTGAGATTTGCACCGCGTTATGAAAAAGGGCAAAAAACGTGTAACTTAACCTCTCTAATAGCTTTGATTTCGCGCGGTACAACCATTGTTGTCACCATATACGCGATACAAGGTGAAATGCGTACGGACTATGCAGTATTTGGCCAAAACACGTACCGTTTGTCACAACGATAAATCAGCCCCCATAACGTTTATACGCTGCAGCTTCAACGCTATTTGGGTGATCAAGGTACGAGTACCGTAAAGAATAGCGTTACCGTTGTTTGCTAAGGGTGTCTAATGTTCTGAAGTAACTAGTTGATAGATATCACTTCAAGGATTGCTAGTGGATGAAAATTAATCTGTCAACAGAGGAGTGAACTGCATTGTATGCTGCGAAAGCCGTGTTTTTGTATTTGTAACTAGTGGCTGTGTTATACGATGGAATTGGATAGATAGTATAGCATCGCAGCGATGTTTTCGTTCTCACAGAGTGTATTCCGTGACCTACTGTTCTTCATTACTGTCTCTAGTGATGGCAAGACGGCCTGACGTCGTCCAAAGGCCCTGCGGAAGCAATTCACTGCCCTCCTCGTCCATTCAGGGGCTCATTTTACACATTTTACACAAAATGGCAAAGCACCCACCACTAGTTATACCAACGTGGCAGGGAGAATTAAATTATACGCACCAAACTTTCTGGTCAATGTTCATCTATGATAAACTGGCTCTCATTTGCCACCACCCATGTTTCGATACAGCCATCAGGAGCAGAGAAACAGCCAGAAAGCGCTGGTTGAGGCAGCGGGAGAAAGTTTTGGCTTTGAATTATTTTGATGCTCGATGCATCGCACGATTTTATTATGATCACCGCTGCACCGGATATTCAGGAAAACAAACAAAAAACCGCCGACTACATTTTTTTTGTAGACTCAGCATAGATTTTTCGAAGTCTTGTGAAGGTGTGTGCATGTGTTCAGAGAGCCAGCTTCATGTTCAGTAACGAACATTGTCAAAGTAAAAACTAAAAAGGTGTGTGTTCCATCCCAGAACTACCTGTAGACTCACTCAGGAGTCAGAACTGAATGTTAGCAGGGAGTACTCTCTTATTAGTACTATAATAGTAGTGTTACTTGGCGGTGCTCACGATCGGTTCTGTAATACCTCTTTTGTCTTCATTTTTATCTTCAATTGGATCTGGTGCTTTTATGAGACATGTCTTCTCCGTCTCTGGAAAGCTCGGAAAATGTGCGGGAGCAGCCCGTAGCCACGCTTCCAGTAGCCAGTCGGCGTCCGATTCGTCGAGGCATGCGTCTCAATCGCAGCGCTTCAAGTACTTGCAGCAGTAATGAGGCTTGTAGTTCTCAGGAGGCCTCGTCGCAACAAAAAGGCGATGTCTCTTCATCTGGTTACCAAACTGCTCTATTTAGTGGTGTACATTCTTCTGCTGCCTCGTCTACTGAGGATGCTTTACGGAGACTAAAGGAAATGGACGGAATTCGACCTCTAGAAGAAGAGCATGAACACAGAGAATATTATGCCCATGGAAGTAGAAAAAAGGCAAAGTTCAGCATCACTGCACTTACCGATGATGATACTGCGTTTGCTCCATACCAAAGTGTAGTAGAGGACGAGGAGGAGGTTACTGGCATTGCCTCGTCATCGAAGCGGGATACTCATATGAGGTGAGATGCTAATCGATCCTAGTCATCCCATGTAGAAATCACACCGTACACAACATTCTTGGCTACGAAATCAATACAGGTGAAATCCTGATAAATCGAACCCCAAATCAATACAGGTGAAATCCTGATAAATCGAACCCCAAATCAAAATGGCGAAATACTCTCTAATCATCCGGACATTCTAATTGTCCAAACATGTACCCACAACACATTATACACACAGTTTTACCATCCTTTTATGCCACCCTTTCAGACAAACTCCCATTGAACTCCACAGAGAGTTCAAGTTTATGAATATAAATCCGAATGTAAACTCCTTTCTTAGGAGCTGAATGGAGGCTGGTACGTGAGGGCTTGAAAGCCCAGAACCCTCGCTATGGTTTGTTTTTACCTAGGTCATGCGAGTTATTCGAAATGATAGAAACGTCTTTGCAATACGACTATCGGGACGTATTCTTGTATGATGACCTGGCTAGGTAAAAACAAAGCATAGTAAGGACTCTGGGTTTTCAAACCCTCTCGTTCCTTTTTCTGGTTGGAAAAAGAAACTTAAGCCCATAAAGACAGATACAGTCATACATGTACATAACTCAAAACTCAAACTCCCTGACAGGTACATTCTACCAAGTATGTATATTACGCTAGGGTCCTAGTTTATTTCCTCTTTTTGATCTTTCCACGCAGACATAACATGGGATTCGAACCCGCACTATCGCCCTTCTTGCATTCCCTCGATACACTTTGCATACATACACATTCTACCAAGTTGCTTCACGTTATGATCCTGCCGTTGAAAGCCCTATGTGAATATGGTGGTCAGCTGTCTTTGACGATATGGTACGGGACATGTGTGGGATAGCGCGCCAGGCATGGCGCGTCACGTGATGACGGCCCCCACCAAACACACCAACACATACCGAAGTAAAGTGCTGTGGACTGTGGCTAGCGCCAGCAAGAGTACATAACCCCCCAGAGTGTGCAACGCCTGATCCAGCTCTGCATAGGGTCTTGGTCGAGCGGAATCGGATCTTTGCGTCATCATACTGTACACATCTGAGGGGAACCCGGGGAGTAGCGGGTACTCTCGGATCAAAAACAATGGTGCCCTGCCTCGAGATCGGCCTTACGCTGGTGTGGAGTGTACGCATGACATCAGAAGATCCGATTCCGCTCGACCAAGACCCTCTGCAGAGCTGGATCGGAGGTGCACCTTCTGGGGGGGGGGTTATGTACTCTTGGCGCTAGACGCTACTAAAGTAACGTCTTTCGCATAGGTACGGGAATAAATGTACTACAGACTACCCTTAGGTTTATACGTGGAATACAGGTCCTCCCTCATTAGTAGATAATCTCTGGGCCATCAAAATAGTTATCTTGTAACAGGACTTGCATCTAAAGGTGAAATAGGCAGTAATTTGCATTTGCCTGGGCTCCCCTCGATACAACATAAATGAGCGACGCTTCAACTCGTTATAAGATAATTGAAAATCTCCAACATAGCTCTTCCTTGGATGAAAAAGATCGTACATATCTACGAATACATAGATAATAATACGTTGTGCCGTTCTGCTTTATCCTATGTGTTTTGGTCTTGGTCCTGCATGATCAATATTATCTTATACTGAGGGTTTGGCACGCCAGGGACCTGGGAAAGGGTCGTTATAACGAATTTTATGTACTAATGAATTATGTTGTAACCGGACCTGTCAACAGTTGCATAGACCACGTTTCGCCAGGGGATTTCAGATTTCTATTTACTAACGGGGTTATGTACTAACCGGACTCGTTATAACGAGGGAGGACCTGTATAACCTATCACACAAATCTCGGCTTCGCCTCGTTTTGGGTTCAATTTTTATTCCGCCTGTATAAACCTAAGCCCAAGGTTAGTTGTATTACTGTATGCTGTCCCTGGGGAAAATCGCAATTTCGCGGATGCGAATTTTTCTACGATTTTGACGGTTATTTTTAAATCCGCGATTTCTGCAAATTTTCCGTTGTTTTTGAAGTTTTTATGCATAAAAACATCGAAAGACTGTGCCTGCATCACATGAAGGAGGTCTTCTCTCTCCCGAGTCTGTACATGTGAGTAGCAGTAGTAGTTTTCTGGCAGGCAAACCGGTCGATTGGCAAATCCACTTGCAAGTTCACCAAAAATGGTCGCAAATTCCCCGCAATTTTGCCGCAAATTGTGCCAATATTGACTGCAAGTTGTGCCACGAATTTTGGGCTTTTCTTTCGCGATTTTCCCCGGGGATAGCGTATATCAAATGCTCTCATTGCCACGCAGAGTTGCACTATGCATCATGGAGACCGATTTCACGGACACTGACCTAGCCAGTACAGTGTGCATTAAATTTAGCTTTGCGCCTTGCCAACTTCGAATTATCAGCAGGAATCCCACACATTTCCTATGTACCATATTTTCCGGTGCGTTAGCCACACTTCGAAGCGCGTAAATAACTCAAAAATCGGCCCTGTGATTGCGGGCATGTTCGATTGGTAAGGATCGGGATCAGGATCCAGATCTCAGATCCATCGGATCCTTCAGATTCAACTGAACACTTTACATTGGACCTTGACTGTTGCCATGTTGACAATGGCGCTCACAAATCACCCCAAAAGGGTGAACGTCGTACTCATCGCCTCCGTCGTACAAAAAGTCAACAAGCTCTATCTCCATCCACGTGTGCGTATCACAATGTGTACAAAAATGATTTTTACCCGCCATATACGCACAAAGGTCACATTTGGATACGTTGGATCCGGTCAACCCTGCTCCCAGAGGTGTGTTGACCGGATCCAAATCCGAAGGATCCGGATCCAGGTTCGACCAATCGAAAGGGTGCGAATCCAGTGGATCCGGTGGATCGGGATCCCGATCCTACCAAACGAACATGCCCTTAGACTCCGAATGCTGGATGCGAATCGACCAGCGCTACAGCACTCCAAGCGTACAATGCATGTATGGTGTAATGCGACTACTTTTCATGCACTGCAATTCATCATTGCACTAGCACAACGCTTCTACGTGTTCTACATATCAATTCTGAGTGAAGGACAAGCTAGGCAACTTTTGCTAGAACTTCGGTCATGCTTCTCAACTGTTGATAACATCTTGTATGTGCCGATACCCTTTTGAATGGCCAAAAATGTCTGACATGCGGCTTACACGCCGAATGTCAACAACAATACGAATTTTGGGCACGAAAAAGGCGGGGTGCAGCTTAGACCCCGATGCTGTTAATACCCCGGGGAAATACGGTAAGAGGATTTCGTGGGACTTCTAACCAAAGGGGCAGTCCGGTGAAAAATGAAAATCTCACATGAAGGTCAGACATGGGTCCTTCCTCACTCCCACATGGAGATACTATCTTTAGGATAGCTCATCTTGCCTATTTTCAGTCACCAAATCAGTTGAAATAGCATGGTTCTATTGCCTTCACGACCCTCTTTTTGACCTACCTGCACGAGCTGATGTAGCAGGGGGTGTGGTGCGGCTGTATGACGTCACCCCCCCCCCCCCCCCCCCCCCCGAGTCTCACATGTTCAAATAGAAATATCTCTACTTTAAAGTAGAGCGCTTTGTCGGAGAGATGTGGGACCAGGATCTTTCGAAATCGGTCCGGGTGGAACTTCTAAATTAAGCAGTATGTTCGAAATTATGTCAGAGGAGCACTCTGCTTGGCCGAATGTATGTGATGCATGTATGCTTGTGGTTTCATTTGCAGTCAGTCTTAATTGTTTTAAACGTTCTTGCCCACGGTGGTATTGGCGAGCAGCAAATCCCATTCATTCCGTATGGGGTCTACAGCTTCGCAGATTTGGGGTCCAGATTTCTACGCGGAGATGAGGTTCTCTACGTTGTGCCACACGCAAAGAAAATTTGCATGGACCTGGTGTGTATCTTCAAATTGACGAGAAAGCTGCCAAGTTTGTACTGGGAAATTCCCAGTTCACATTCCATGTGATTTCTTATACGTTGCGGGAACGCAAAGAGTGTTCACGTAATGTAGAGCAGAACATCGCTAGTAGACACTCTTAGCAAACAACAGTAACGCTATTTTTTTACGGTACTCGTACCTTGATCACCCACATAGCGGTGACGCTGCAGCATAAAACCGTTATGGGGGCTGATTTATCGTTTTGACAGACGGTACGTTTTTGGCCGAATATTGCGTAGTGCGTACCCATTTCACCGCCTATCGCGTATATCATGTATATGGAGCCATAAATGGTTGTACCGCACGAAATATAAGCTACAATAAAACCTGTAATGGCGACCACTCGACCATGACGACCACTTTTCCTTGTCACGGACGCATTCACATTCAAAACACCTCGGGTAAGGCGACCACTCGCTCAACGCGACCGACGACCACCCACCCACGGCCCCACTTTGCACAGTGGTAGTCATGTAAATGTATGCATTGCATGGTGCACCAGGCATGGTAGATCTACACATCAGTGCAGGAAGTGTAGATGTACATGGTACATGCACGACATTTGACAGGTCTGAGGATCCCAGGCACATGAGTCGTGCTAGAGTAGCATAGGTGTGTGCACTGTGATGCACTGATCAAAAATGTATCACATGTGGATATGGTCACGTGACCCACTGAACCTGGATAAGAAGACCACCTGGCCACGGCGACCACTTTTTCTCGTCCCTTGACCTTGAGGGGTCGCCTTAGACAGGTTTCACTGTATTCTCATGGCGGCGACAGCAGAGACTAAATATAGCGTGCATCTTGCTAAAGGTCCAACCCAAATCTCGGTATTTTTCCCTTACGGTAATACTGACACAAATACTAGTAACGTTTTTTGCTAAGGGTGTCTGCTATTGGGTTGTTTGCCCTAACTGAAGCTGTTTGCGCTTCTCGGCGGTGTTCCACTAGTCAATGTTTGTTTTTCTATCTGGTGTACTGCTTTCAGTTATTGTCAGATCGTATTAACTGGTTTCAGTATTTGCGTGTGCTTGCATTAGGACGGAACGGCGTTCACCAACACCACCCCCTGAGTTTGATTCCGCGGCATATGCCAGGTCGGCGTCCACACACTCTTGTGCAATGAGGTAAATGCATCCATTCAATGCATGTAGTACTGTTATAGAAGCAGGGAGTGCGTTGCTCTCGCCAGTGCAGTGTGTAGCTGGTCATTCCCCGACTCCCCGATGAAATTGCACATCCTAGTCAGTACGTGTACAGTAGAACCTTTTTGTGAGGCGTGATCCATACGCCACGGTGACCGAACGGTGCCCGTATCTCAGAGTCATTTAACTCGGTAATACAGAACAACCAAACATGGGGGTATCATGCATTCTCTTCAGCACGGCATGCATACACAAGAGGAGTTGGGGTATATCACCTTCTTTATGTGGTGGACTAATTTTAAGTAACCACCACAAAAGAAGAAATAGAGAGGTTTAGCAGTACGAATTTTGCAATCAAATTGCAAATGCCGAAAAAACGGAAGTACATGCTTGATTGATATCCTTGATCGATTGAAGAGGTTCGAAGGAAATCAAATGCGTAATGGAGAAGAAAAAATAATGACTTGTTGTTTCTTCTCCTCACCTTTGATGATGGTGATTTCACTGATTTGAATGATGATGATGATGATGATGATGATGAAGCCACTTCTTTGGGCAAACAAAACACAATTTCCCAAGATGAAGGAGTGGAACCCTACACAAATAATAGTTTAAATGAATCCAACGCAAAGATCGTTTTTCCATGAAATACAACAATTGAACACAATTACATGCTTAAAGGCATGAAAGCAACAAAACAGCAACAAAAGGGTAAGCGCCATACCAATCCCACATGCACAGTCAGGACACAGCACGATACTTAACAAACTAGACCTGACTCGGCCACGGCAATCGAGACATCATGAAAACATCTCGCCGGATGGTGGTACCGTGACCGAGCCCCACGTATGCACAACACAGCAGCACGCAGCAAAGCAAAAGACAGCCGACAGCGGAGTAAACCAATGACCTGGGAATAGTGAGATCCCGATGACTCGGCCTGCATCTGGCACAGTCTCTTGAGGAACACATTGCACAGCCTCCCACAACCACCATGCACAGAGAACACGAGAGGTGTGAAAGCGGCTCTTTCTACATTTGTGACTCTTGGCCCATATTCGTTCCACTTACGCCGCTCGTGCTGCTGGTACAATGCAGGAAGGGTTCTGGACCCGTAGGAAGGAGCATCTGGGCAAAATACCCTTACATCAAAAAAAGCTTCCTCCCCACGGGTCCAAAACCCTCGAGCGGCTATGTCCAGGCGCGCATCCTCTCGGCGGTTCGTTGACCGAAGAGGAAACCTCTCACCAGAAAGAGGTGATGATGATGATGATGATGATGATGATGATGATGATGATGATGATGATGATGATGATGATGAGCTAGCTCTTCTGCTTCATGTTCTGGAGGATAATCCTCAGGACTACAAGTTTATTCAGGCGATTGGTCTTACTTGATGGGGAAACATGTTCCACACGTTTCAGGCTCACCGAAAGAGCGATCCATGTGTTGAATGAAGAACTGCCTTTAAAATAGCATAATGTTATGTCAACACCCAGTCAAACATCATGGTTGAGTTGCAGTCAGGGGACTGCCTCTGTTGCTTGGGATGTTGTGTTACTCAAGTAGACTTGGAGACATGTGTGTAGAATTTGGACGATCGAAAGCTTCGGAGTGAATGCTCCTGCAATTACCGTATTTGCCAGAGTATAACGTGTACCTGAGTGTAATGCGCACCCCTCTTTTTTGAGCAACGCTTTGGCAATTCAAGGTATATGTTACACTCAGTATATGGTCACGTCTCTATATATGGTCACAGCTCTATATATGGTCACTATGGTCACTATATCTCTGTACAGTGTACAGGCGACATGGTGCACCGCTGTACATGGCCACAGATGGAATACAATGAAGCCTTGCTTTCACAGATGGTGCTGCAGTATGAACCAGGGATCCCTGCCTCCTACATAGGCCATATATATATAGGGCTCCCTGGTATGAACTCGGTCACCATAAAATGCGCAGGCTTTTTGATTTGTTGTTGTTTTCAGTTCCACTGATTTTCTTTCTTGTTGCCATCGCCAAGACAATGTCACAGATGGTGCTGCAGTATGAACCTATGATCCCTACATAGGGCTCGCTGGTATGAACGTCATGAAAGCCGCAGTCTTTTTGATTTGTTGTTGTTTACAGTTTGACTGATTTTCTTTCTTGTTGTCTGAGCTTGCTTTACTTGTAGCTTGTGAAATTGAAGCAGTTATTCTATTATCCCCTGCTATATTTTGCTATAATATTTTAGGTTGATCTGTTCGTATAATGTAGTTTGAAGGTGGAAGAAGAAGCGCAGGTTATTAGAGTTGGAAAGTCCATACGAAGTGCTTCAAAACTAAAGATAGAAATGCGGAGTCATTTTGGATTTCCTTTTAGGAAATAACTACAGTGTGTTTGGTCAAAGCACAGAACCCAAGTGGGGTGAGGGGGAAATTGCGGAGCACGTTAATGCGACTGAGAATGTTCACGTCGAGGAGAGGTACATTGTGTGTGTGTGTGTCCGTGCGTGCGGGCGTGTGTGTGTATGTGTGTGTATCGTTACCCCACGCAGCAATGATTATAATTATGTTCTGAGTTGTGACCACATACAATGTACTAGTACGATTTCAGTTAGCAATTGACCACATCTAGAGTGGCCATGGGGTGTGTAGTAGCTGGAAATGCAACTCCTACAGGTGCATGTGTGTGCTGTCTGCAATGTTATTGTGCCCATATATAGACAAGACACATTGCATATGACCACCTATAGAGTGACCATGTATAGCGACCTTTGTACAATTTGACCATATATAGAGCAATAACCACATATAGAGGATTGCTGGGCTACTGAGTCCTACATATATCCGGAGTATAAAGGCCGATTCACAATACAACTTTCTGCGACGCGACAAGCGACACATGCGCCGAGCTGCGACAGCGACACACGGTTCACAATATTCTTCATGTTTGCGACATCCTCATGCACAAGTAGTACTATGCATGTCCACTGCACGTGCACCCAGGGTCGAAACTGTACACCATTTGTGTATGTCGCGTGTCGCATGTCGCAAAAGTTGAACTTTCTTCAACTTCTGCGACAGCTCGCGACAGGCAGTTTCTTGTCGCAACTGTCGCAAATCGCGTGTCGCGTCGCAGAAAGTTGTATTGTGAATCGGGCTTAATACGCAGCCTAGATTTGACAGCATCATCGATCATTAAGACAGTAGTATAGTGCGGACCATTGTCAGAATTTATCACAAAATTATCAATGAATACGTTTGTATAGTGCATGTGCTACCGATGGGGTCTCGTGCTGATCATGCATTGCCATTAGCAGTGTAGCTGGCAGTAGACATGCACACATATAGCTTGCGCAGGGTGTGAGGTGGCAAATTTTGCAACAATTTGATGCATTTCACTACATTTCGATGTACATGCTTTTTTCGTATTCGGAGCATAGTGCGTACCTGCGATTTGGGGCCTGAAATAGTACATCTAAAGTACACACTATACTCCGGCGAATGCGTTAACTAGTACTTACAGTAGCAAGTCATTGCAAGTTGTGTACGTCATACTGAAGTACTGCTTACCATTGCTATGGATGGCAAGTACTGCTTACCACTGCTATGGATGGCAAGTACTGCTTACCACTGCTATGGATGGCAAGTACTGCTTACCATTGCTATGGATGGCAAGTACTGCTTACCATTGCTATGGATGGCAAGTACTGCTTACCATTGCTATGGATGGCAAGTACTGCTTACCATTGCTATGGATGGCAAGTACTGCTTACCACTGCTATGGATGGCAAGTACTGCTTACCATTGCTATGGATGGCAAGTACTGCTTACCATTGCTATGGATGGCAAGTACTGCTTACCATTGCTATGGATGGCAAGTACTGCTTACCATTGCTATGGATGGCAAGTACTGCTTACCATTGCTATGGATGGCAAGTACTGCTTACCATTGCTATGGATGGCAAGTACTGCTTACCATTGCTATGGATGGCAAGTACTGCTTACCATTGCTATGGATGGCAAGTCTAACTATGTAGATTTCACTTTGTCAGTGTCATTCATAAGCTCACAATAAAATTATTTCAATGGTTTCTTGAATGAAATGTATTCAGCAGCCGCATTGTACGCCTGGCTTTTGGAAGACAAACCGAACTGCACAGTATAGTACCTTATAGCCTGTATAGCTCAGAGCCACACTGGGGTATAGCTCAGAGCCACACTGGGGTATAGCTCAGAGCCACACTGGGGTATAGCTCAGAGCCACACTGGGGTATAGCTCAGAGCCACACTGGGGTATAGCTCAGAGCCACACTGGGGTATAGCTCAGAGCCACACTGGGGTATAGCTCAGAGCCACACTGGGGTATAGCTCAGAGCCACACTGGGGTATAGACCATATCCAATGACGTCACGGATCGCGCGGCCAAGGGGGCTGCAGAGTCACTGAGTGGCAAAAGAGAGCAGCTGAGAGTTTTGAGTTTGAAAGTACAAACGGTCAAACCACTGAGTTTGGGCGGAAGAGATTCAAGACGAGAAGAAGAAGGCAGCAGTTAGTAATGGATGGCGAGCAAAGCGAGGTAGTGGAGTTTTCATCAGAGTACAAGAAGTTGGATGAGGCTGCAAAGAAAAGGTACGACGAAAAGCTAAATTTGATCGCGAAGGGAGCGAAAGACCCGTACTGCATCAGTGGCCATCAAGGCGATCATTTGTCAGACTTGCTGCCTCTAGTCGAATATCCGGACTTGTACAATTACTTAATTACAGCCCCTAGCCCGGTAACGAAGGAAGAACTGAAGGCATATAAAAGTCTCGACGGTCACAAGTTCTTGGTGGCAGGGTGGCTGGGAGATGTGAGTGCGTACGAGGCGACATCGGATCATGAAAAGAGAGTTGTGAAAGCAAAGGTGAGACACTCCCAGTCAGTCAGCAGCGACCCTCTCACACCGTGGATAGCTGCAGAACACAATGGCACTATTATTTGCGCCCACTGCAC